GTGGCCACAGAAACTTAACAATGATGGAGGTTGTCTTGAGCAGACAAAATGGAGGGTAGCCTGATAGCGACAAATAAAGAGGAAGAGCCTGTATCTGACTCTCCACATTGTTAAATGGGCTATGTGTTCACTTAGGATTATTCATCTTGAATTTGACTTCGAGGAGGTTTAACCTTATCTAACTCACTGGCCCAAAGCTAATGAATCGTGTCTTCAAACTGTCTCTTGTTTTATTTTATTACAATGGGACACAAAATAAAATTTTGTATCAGAACAAGTTGGCAGTGACATCAATCTTGTCCTTATGTAATGATCTGCCAGCCAGCCTTGTGCTATACAGGAGCAGAGGAGAGAACAGGTGGGGAAAATCAGAGCCTCAGCCTGTCCCTGTCGTGGAGTTAGGGTAACCTAGGTAGCACTTGTCTCTCTTTGGAAAGCTATGGTGGGTCAAGGTCAGCACCCATTTCTCAATAAGAAGGACTGTAAAGTGCTTTAGGCGATTTAATATGTCTAAAGAGTAAAAATTAATAACCAGAGAGACTATGAATGAAATGTTATAAAAATATAATGCCTTGGATGTGATATGAACACGCCCAGTATTTTCATTTAAATTAAGGTAGATGAATGCTTTACTAATATGCCATACTAATTTAATACACTCTGATTTCCAGACGCTTAAAATATTATGTCATGTTATTTATCTAGTTATTTGCATATTGGGCAAGGTTAAAAATATTTTTCATTTTTCAGGAAAATATTCTAAGAATCAGCTATGGAGCTTAACATGTCTACTGGGAAGGTGTAGCTCAATGTGTCTGTTGCAAAATTCTCACCTAAGGTGACTTGAGAGGTGACTATGTAGGAATAGTTTTTACCCCACTCTGAAGAATCACTCATAATCATTATTTTGTCTTACTGTTGCTCTTGCCAGTCTCCCCTTATAAATACTGAGAGCTGTTTGGAGTCAGATTCTATGGGGGAGCAGTAACAACTGAGTTAGTCTTAGTGAGAGATAGCTATTTTCTTTTTTCTACCAAAGCTGAGCACAAAATTAATTCACTTCAGTCTTTATGCACAAGGCTGATGCTATCTGTCACTCTTTCTTTTATTCCTCCCTCTTTTATTCTCTCCTTCCCTCACTTCCTTCTTTCCTGACTTTGCTGGTAAGAGTCAAATTTTTTTTTCATGAGTAGAAGGAAAAAATGAATGTTTGCTAAAGATATCTGAATATATACTCTATTGAACTCTTACGGTGAAAAAGAATAAGAGGAATTATGTATATTCCTGTATAGGAAAGACTGCATTCCTGAATATGGAAGAAACAAATGCAAATTTATTGTATCCCCAAAAGAACTGTGAGGAATGAAATAGTTTTTTATATTTATTTAATATCATTATTTATACTTGTTATTTAAAGCAACATAACAACCATTAAAGAACTGATTGGTATTCCATAATTGAAGGAATAAAAATAAATCATTCAAGACCAAAACAAAATAAAACAAAAGCAAGAAAACTTACAGCAGCAAATAGAAGCACATGACCAAAAAAGCTAAGGATACACATACGACTTCTGCATATTTTGGGGCTAGAACATGCACTTACAGTGCTGGTAATCCATAGTCGTAACTGGATTTGATGGTTCTGAACATATGAGTGTGCTTCAAGTATCTGGACAACTATTTTTGGGGGGTTAGGGCCTTAGTTAGTTAAGTTAAATGGTAATCTATGTGGTAATATAACATGGGTTTTGCCATTGATAGTTTTGCCATAATAAGGAATTGTTGTATTAAAAATAGATTTATGCTTTGGTTGTCTTTTCTTCATTGCTAACCAGCAACAATGGGAAAATGTTTTAGTAAGTACCTAGAAAAACTTGTGGGTAAGAGTTTGTTCAGTGGTATATGTGCACAATTTTGGTACCTAATCTAAGGTTTATTCCTGTTTTAATACAATTATAGATCATGGAAAAATATATAGCCTTTCCACATGCATGTAAACATTAGTATGGTTTGATATTGGCAAAGCTCACAATTAGAGATTTATTTTTAAAAGAATCTCATCTAAAATTCTGTCATAGAAAAATAGATTATTTGGAGTGTATTTGCCCTTTGGGGCTGAATGCATACTTGTACATAAACACATAAGCAACTGGCTTAGGAGCAAGTTGGCAAGAAAGTGGAAAAATGCATTTAGTAAACAAATGGTAACAGCAAATCCATCCTCTAATTTTTTAAAAAACTAAAGATAATAATAAAGTTATTTCATAGTCCTTCAGAAAGATCAGAAATCACATGTGGGGTAAAGTGTTTCCAGGCACTCATAGAAGCCAGAGGCTCTTTCCCTGCCCCACAGCCTGGTCTTATCTACATTTTTCTGATAGCATCTTTCACAGTGCAGACATGTGTGTGGCTGTTAGTCTATCTATATTCTCTGACCTCCTCGAGGATGTGAACTGTACATTTCCTCTCTGCATTGTTCCTTTAGGTAACACAAGTCTGATGCACAGCACATGCTTGCTAAGTGAAAAACACAGATGGAAGAATGACAGTGAATGTTGTTCCACTCTCGCTATCCAATCTCCTGCTCACTCTTTCCAGCTACAAATCTTCAGCATATTTTCAATACCTATAGAGTCCATCGTTGCCCTCAAATTATTGCAGATACTGTTGCCCTTACCTATAGCACATCTGTCATCTCCATCTATATAAAGTTGAACTTTTTTTATGGCTCTATGTACAGCTCTTACTGCTATGGTATTTCACAAGTACAACCACTCACACTGTTATCTCTTTTCTGTGACCTTACACTGTACCACACAGCTTATCCCTCCATAAATTGTTTTGAGTCACTCTCTGTCACTTCATTGTTTCCAGTATACTGTTTTTGTACTGTCTCAAGTAGCACTGTCCAATAAAAAAATTCTATAAGGAAATATTCTGTAATCTTTCTGTCTGCTGCAGTAGCCTCTGGCCACATGCGGCTATTGAGCACTCTAAACGTGGCTAGAACTACTGTAGATTTAAATTTTTTGTTTTTAAAAAGTTTTAATTAATTGACCTTTAAATTTAAATAACCACATGGCTAGTTGGTGGCTACCATATTGGACAGCAAAATTCTTCATTGTATTGCAGATGGCTTGGCATGTGTTCTAAGTAATTATACTCAACATCAGGTTGTAATCAAGAATATGATCAAAAAACATATTACTTTGAAAGGATGCTTACCAAAAACTTGGCAAGATTAAATTCACAATAGGAATAGAAGGATAAATGATTAAATGCATTGGGAGAAATAATGCACTGACTTGAAACAGAAGGGAATTCAGGTGCAATAGAAAAAGCAAATTGACTAGTGAGAGTTAAAGTTGCAAAAACCCAAACTAGTACTGATACTAGACAGCCAGAAAAAGAGCCATTATATGTGCCAGATTGATAGTCTCTTCTCCAAACTCAGTGGATGAAGGAATTAAATAAAAAGGTTAGAGATTAGAATGAACAAAAAGCAAGAGATTTAATTCAATCACATTCTACTAATAGGATTTCTTGAAAATATAAGTTAGATCTTCTGATAATATGCTGTTATATTTTAGGTTCATTGTATTGACTATCAATCTGTTATAATTGAATTTAATGCATTGACTATTGTTTGAAATAACCCACAAGTATGTGGTTAGTGATGTTTTACAGTAGTATTTTACTCTTTTGTACCTTAGCTTTTTACAAATTATTTTTCTCTACATTTTAAAATCTAGTTACAAGCTGATTTCAATTACTTCTTTGTCTTTTCTGTAAAAAAGTTGTAATTTCTTTTATTCATTTAATAAATATTTATTGAATGCTTTGTGTGGGCCAGATAGTGTTGTAGGCTTTGGGAATAATCTGGTAAGTAAGTCAAATATACTTTATCTTCATGGAACTTAAATGTAAAAGGAAAAAACCCCACATTTTAGGAATATATGTTAAGAAACATTTAAAATAGCAGATGATAATGACCTGCTAAGGAAAGTGGTTCTGACTATGCCCAGGGCTCTAAGGAGAAGCGGCAGGGAAAAATCTCAGGAAGAGCTCTTTGGGGGAGGCCAGACTCAGTAGCTTCATGGATGAGGCTCAGTTTTAGTTGATCTATGAAGGCTGGCTGAGATTTCAGGAAAAGCCAAGTAGGTAAATGGTATGTCAAAAAGCATTGTAGGTGAGAGAAATAATACAAAGCCTACATTATAGAAATGAGTTTGGAAGAAAATGAAGAGACAAATCTAGCTTGAATGAAAAATAATTATAAAACTACAAAACTCTTCTCAACTAGACAGATGGTGGTATTAGTAAATAGAGGCAGTATATGGAGGGATAGGATGCACAGTCTGACACAATGTTGTGACACTGCGTGAGGATGATTCTCAGGATAGATCAAGAGCACAAGTCAGGCACTGGAGAAGAGGCATGGATTTGGAAAACGTCAACCAGCTATGCTATTTGAATCCAGGATAGTGGCTCAGTGTATAGAGGAGAGAAAATGGCCAGGTTAAAACAGGTGACAAAGGGTAGAGCCTTGGGGAAAAAACAGGAAATAGTTGTACAAAAGTAGTCTGAGAAGTAACTTAGTAGAAGCCAAAGTAGCTGTTTGGAAATGATAGGAAATCAAGAGGTGATGATATGTTGTGGAAATTGAAAACTGATTTAGAGAGTGAAGTCCCTGAGAATGATTGAACAAGAAAATTTAGATTCCAAAGCCAAAAATGAAATAAAATAAACAAGACAAGGTGTACAGGGTGTCAAAGTAGAACCCTATGGAGAGGTCAGCACTGGCAATGTAGCAGTCTTTATCATAGAGGATGCAAGATGTAGCAAGTTAGTTATTTCTATATTTTTAAAAGATGAGGATACCTAAATATGTTTTCATGGAGGAAACAAGAAGCCTTTGTTGCTTTTTGAAGTGGAACAGTTTAGTGCTTCTGAATGTGCTTGTTCTAAACTCCAACCCTCTTTGCCATCACATTACAGTGAGTCCATTTCTGAAGAGACCCTGAGGAGAGCAAAGGAGATCGGCTTCTCAGACAAGCAGATCTCAAAATGCCTGGGCCTGACTGAGGCCCAGACAAGGGAGCTGAGGCTTAAGAAAAACATCCACCCTTGGGTTAAACAGGTGAGAGAGTTTTCCATTCTACCCAGGATATCTTTGATGAAATATAGGCACCAATTCACCATGCCACTGTTGATAGAAAGAAAGTTGTGTTTAGAAAATGAGCCTGGTTGTGTGATTGCTGCTCATGATGTCACTAGATTTATTTAGTACAGGGATGATTTATGCCTAAAAGGGAAAGAAGCAGAGTGGGCACAGGGCTGTAAAAAGAGGAATGAATACCTGATTTCCCTAAATAAAAGGAAAAAATCAAAATGACCTCTCTTTTATTTTTGACCTGTGTCTAAATATATTTGAAATAAGAGAAATCATTAGTGTGATAATAGACAGATTTGAAATACCCTGGCATGATGGTAAGCCTCTTGAAAATAATAGTTATCTCCATTGGCACTTAGATCTTTTACAGGGTAATACTTTATGTTAAGTGCCCCATCATTATGGTTCATTTAGTATTCATTGTGGTAGGGCTGGGCTTAATGAGGTCATCTAGTATTCATGGCAATCACACATGAATGTTCATAGGTGTATGTACTTCTTCTTCTTCTTTTTTTTGGGGGGGGGCTTTTAATGGAGGGACTATCTTAGTTTAAAATACCACCAGGTGGTTTTTGTCCTTTAAAATCATTGGCTTTTCTCTGTGTGCTCAAGGGGCACATGAATACCCTTAGATCTCAAGCTTGATGCTAAATATTTTCTACTCAGCAATTATTAACTTTCTTCCTGCTCACCTATCTTCTACCAGCTTGCCCTGTTGCCCCCAAATTCTTGCTCACTAAGCTGAGCTATAGTGGCCCTTGAGAGCAGAATTGATTTACTTTTTCCAAATGTGTTGAATGAGATTCTGATCTCTTCTCTGCTTATGCTTTATGGTATTTGTGTCATCTCATTTCTTGTAGCCTTTGGTCACTTACATCCTATGTGTTAATTTGTAAACCAAAGACATCTTTACGCTTAGGTCATTTTGCTCTGATTTTAGATTTCACATATAGCTGCTTTTGATAGCTGGTTGAATTAATTTTCCTGGTAATTAGTGTACCGTATGATCATCACGTCTTGTTCAAGGGAGGTAGTAATCCAACAGTGCTCTGGAGTCTGTGTGGCTATTTATTGCTTATGTGATAACTATATTATATTTTTTTCTCTCTTCTTTCATTTTCAGAATTAGAAAGCAATTAGAAAGAACATAGATTTGCCTGTTTTTATGTTTGACGGTACTAGATATTAAAAAAAATATGAAACCAGCACAAAAAAAATCCATAGTCTTAAAAATTATAATAGAGAGAGGGAGTAAAATAATCATTAATTAACTAATTTTCTTTTGCAGATTGATACTCTGGCTGCAGAATACCCATCTGTAACAAATTACCTGTATGTGACCTACAATGGTCAGGTAGGAACTTTCTTTTGCAGAGAGCTCTAGATTTAATAGCTGAGCCACATCAGGAAATACATAGTTTTCATCTTTGATTATCTAGTGATCTTGGTAATAAAAATGACATCATATGGGTCAGATGCAATGATATGTTTGTGTCCTCATTTTTACACTTGATCTTAGCCAAAAGGCTGAGAAGCGATGTGTGTCCTCATTTTTAAAGAACTGCCTTAAGATAATGAAGTCAAACAAGTAAAATATAAACACAATGATTACATGAACATAAAATTATTCTGTGTTCTCATGACTGTTTAATTTGCTCATATGGAGCTAAATCTAATTTTTACAAGTAAGTAAAACTCGTATAATACTTTAAACTAGTGGGTTCCTAGAGACTTAAAGAATCCTGTGAACAAAAGGAAGAATGAAAAGATACACTTACATACAAGACAATTAGTTTAATTAAGTAGAAGAATAACATAATAATTTACACATTTTCTTTTTTTTCCACCCTAGGAGCATGATATCAATTTTGATGAACATGGACTGATGGTGTTGGGCTGTGGGCCTTATCACATTGGTAAAATGATGACTTCTATTCATATATGGTTCCCAATTCATATTTGCATAAATGTTGATTCTGTTTTTCTAAGAAGGACCTGAAATAAATGCCATTACAATAACTGTTTTTGCAAATTAGAAAGATGAGGTTCAGAGAACTAAAACCCAAACACACATAGCTATTTAGTGGTAGCAGTGGAACTTAAACACAGATCTCAACTACAAATGTAATCTCATCCTACCATATCTTTTTATCACTTTCATCCTTATTAAGTGAATCAGGTCTCTCACTGGGGTTGGAGAGTGGAACGGACTTTGTATCTCTTCTAACATAGTTCCTCATAAGGCTTCCATAGATCTTCTTTCTGTTTATATCAAACACAAAGAGTTTGTTTCATTGGTAGGTAGACAATTACACAATCTAATTTAAATATACTCAGCCAAGATCGTGACATTTTCTCCCTTACTCAATTAAAATTAGGTGCTTATTAACCACTAGGATCTGTTATGGTTGCCAGGTGTATGTTAAATGGATAGTGATATTAGTGAACAAGTACATTTCATATTTAGTTCTTAAAAGTCATCCTAATGTGGAAATGATAAAATATATGATTTAGTAGTCTTATTCTGTTTCTTTGAACATAATTTTTTTTATATATTAATTGGTACATTTTAGGTATACAATACATTTACATTTATCATTGGGTGTTTGTACCTGAACATGATGTATCTTAGTTCTTATTTTTTTCCCCATTGCCTATGCATCCTTCACCCCCACCACCCTTCCCTATTTACATAGACTTTGTCTCCATTTTTTTTCCTTAAGATATACCAGTTTCACCAAGTCTTAAAGTAGGGCAAAAGTGTCATTTTCACCACTGTAATTATTATCTTGGTCCATTTCAGCTACTATAACAAAATGCCTGAGGCTAGGTAATTTATAAAGAACAGAAACATTTCTCACAGTTCTGGAAGGTAGAGAGTCCAAAATCAAGGGACCACGAAGTTCAGTTTTCTAATGAGGGTTGGGTCTCTGCTTCTGAGATTACGTCTTAAATGCTGCATTCTCTGGCAGAGAGGAATGCTGTGTCTCACTGGCAGAAGGCAGAAAGGTACAAAGGAACCAAACTCTCTCCCAAGGCCTTTTATTAGAGCAGTGACCTTTTGACAAGGGCTCTGCTCAAATACCTCTTGAAAGGGCTGCCTCACAGTAATGTTGCATTAGTGATTAAATTTCCATCACATGTATCTGAATTTTGACTCATTCAGACCACAGCAATCATTTTATGGCTTAATGATTTAAGCATCTTCATCAGCATATACTTCTCTAGATCTCTTTTCCTTGTCTTCAGTTTTACCTAATTTATGCAACAATTCTGCATTGCTTTAGGGTACAGAAAAGAGCAGCAGAGCTGTTAATCAGCTGCATACTTATTTGAGAGTCTGGATTAACATGCTACTACATTTGGACACCATATTTTTGACAAGATTTAAGTACTAGGGCTTTCAGTTCTATGGCATTCCAGCAGACATGATATTTTGAGGCATTTTGATCATTATTATACTTGAAATTACTCATAGAAGGTCACTCATGCTGGGTGGGGTGACCTCTCAGGTTTAAAAGGATATTCATAGAAAGGATAGGTCTTCCCCATCAATAAAGACATATCAGAGCTAAAAGGCACTTTAAAGATTATGGTTTAATTCTTAAACAGCAGGTTAAGTGGAAAGATTAAAACACTCAAGTATTTGGATCACTGACTTAACTCTTTTTGTGAATTGAGGTCAATGTGTTCACTTCGAATTTCTTTTTTGTAAACTATGTTTATTTTTAATCATTAAAATTGTCTCCAATTAACATTGTTTTTCTAAATGCTTCAATATCAAGATTATCTACTATATAATTTAGAGCAGTAGGCAAGCCAATATTTCATTGTTATTTAGTTACTACCTGCTTTTCCCACCATTAATACAATGTCTCATAGGTCTGAAATTTATATTTTGAAGTTTTAAAAATTGAATTGAAAGGCTTTGATTTCCTGTTCCTGGGCTGACTGATGTTAGATACTTTCTCTGCTTTTCTTTGCATTGCAACTTCATGCTTCTCTTACCCCTTTTCCCAATGTCACTGCCTCTGCAGGCAGCAGTGTAGAATTTGATTGGTGTGCTGTCTCCAGCATTCGCACACTGCGTCAACTTGGCAAGAAGACAGTGGTGGTGAATTGCAACCCTGAGACTGTGAGCACTGACTTTGATGAGTGTGACAAACTGTACTTTGAAGAGCTGTCTTTGGAGAGAATCCTAGACATCTACCATCAGGAGGTAAAAGAAAAATATATGCAGTATATACTTGATATATACCTCTATTCATGTATATAGATTTATATTGAAATTCTTCTTAGGAGAAAGAACTACCAGGGTCTTCCATTGCCTAATTTTATACTGACTTCTAAAAAATAAACAAAAAACAAGAAGAAAGAAAAAGAAAGAAATCATTCTGGTTTTTATAATCTTAAGGCTCTGGCCTAGAGTGATTATTTTCATATAAAAGTCCTATTTTCTTTCTAAGCATTAAACTGTATTGGTAACATAATAGCTAACTATTAACTAGAGCAAGATGACCCCTCATAAATATCTTGCGGAAGGATTGAATTGGTCACCTAGATATATAATAAACAGCCTCCTCCTTGTTCATGTGACATGGTTTAGTGATCCACACTTCCCAGAGAAGTCAGTTGTGTACCAAGGACCAGTTAATTCCTTGTTCCATCAGATGAAGTTGTTAGTCTCCAGTTCAAGATCAATGAGACCATTCTGAATGGTTTTTGTTCCTTTATGGCCTTTTATTGGAGACCGCTGAAACCTTACTGGAAATGTCTGCAATAGGCTCCAGTCTCCTGCCCGGTGTACAATGGAGGCCTGAGAAAAAGAGCTAAAAGACAGAACTAAGAGAGAAGGCTGGGTTCAAGGATGACCAATGCCGGTCCAACCGACAAAGGTGCTGGTCAGTCCAAGCCACGGATTTTTATTGGTAATCATTTGGGGTAAAGATGAGCTATGTGCGAGGGCAGGACTATGTGTGAGGATACTGTCTGCGGTTTCTATGGAAATTAATATAAACAAGGCTCATAAAGGACACCACAAAGCATTCTCTAATTAGGAACAGAATAGACAAAATATATGGTTGTAATTAGAACATTGTCCTTCGAGTAAGAAAGTTTTAGTTCTGGGAATGGAATTTGAGTGCGAGTTACTATGACCTCGGCACGTAGGCTTTGGCCGGATTTGTTTCTCAAAACAAGCCAATTGTGGGGTTAACTTTACAGCCTGAACTGCTTACAGCCTGCTTTGGGCATAATCAATATTGTGGTCTCTACAGCCTTTTCTCCCTATTGCTCCTCCAACCCCACAAAGATTGTTGAGTGTATCTCTACTGTGGAGTCTAATGATTGTAGGTTACTGTAAGTCTATACAACAATTTAAAAATTACTGGAAAATTCTAGAGTAATTTCCAGTAATTTGATGTTATTATAGTCAATTTCTAATAATTGAGAGTCATCCCTGTGTGTAAAATACGATTTCTTAGGGAATAAAAGTACTGAATTGAAGCTACAAAATTTAATTCTAGCTTCAACTTGGTAATTCATTGTTCCACCTTTTTTTGGGTTAATGAATCACATGAATGTACAATTATGCTACATGTAGGAACTGTTATGGTTGAAATCACATTTTAAAGTATGTGGTGCTAGAATAATGTGATGATTTTATTATTATAAAGAAAATAGACAAATTTAGGAAGTATAGTTATCTATTTAGCTTTGGTTTACTAATCTTAATACAATATAATATGATTTAGTAGATAGAAAATATGCTTTTTGTATCTTCTCTCCAACAGTTTTTTAATGACTCCTTAATATTCATTTGTGATAAAAGGGTGGCAATTAAAACAAATGCATTCTACAAATATTTCTTGAACACCTTGTAAATGCCAAGCTCATTGGGAAAGATATCTATAAAATCAGTTTAAGATATAAAACTGAGATTCATAACACAAATATGTGAAAAATCAAGTACTTGTTTTAAAAATATTTTTAAAAACCATCAGAGGCGATAGCATGCATTTTACACATTATTTCTCTGTGAATAAGTATATCAAAAAATGTGACTGCTTTTGGATATATTAATGAGATTCTTCTAATGTAAACATAATAGCATAGAAAAAGTAACCTGGTCCTTCTTTGAAAGTGACATTTAAAATAATATATATGATGAGGTTAAAATATCATTTATGTTTAAGAACATATGAACAGTATTCCATTGATGTAGTCTTTAGATTATCTCATAGGAAATGTTATATAGCAAATCATACACACATATACATATAGGTGTGTGTTTCCTTTTATGAGGTTATTGTGTGTCTCCTGGAGCAGACTCTACTATGTGACCCTACCACCCCTCATCAGGAGTTTGTCTGCCCCTGCTGGACACTGCCCTTCCCCTAGCTTGGTTGCCCCTAGTGGTGCTGAAGGGACTGAGGTATTCGGTAGTAAAAGCATGTCTAAACTTAGAGAAAAGCATGCATCTAAGTTACTTAGAAGGGCAATACACAGCTGCGTGGTCAACAGAATGTATGATGGGTCTCCTAATCTGGGTCTCATGGTCTAGTTCTGGGCCAAGACTGTTTCCACAGTAACCTGTAAAGAAAACATGCAGGGGAAGTCAGAGAAAAGATTTGCCATGTAGGTAATACAGGCTGATTGGAAGAGGTCTTCAACACAGATTGAGAGGTATTCAAGTCTCCTTCCTATTTTCTTTAATTTTTTAAAAATAAAATGTGATAGCAATATAGTCTTCTGGCTATAGATATCACTCACTGATGCCTTATTTTTTTTGTTTGGTATTTGGAGAAGGGCCAGTTAGATATCTTACCTGGTTCACAATTTTGCTTCAGGTACATCTTATAAAGCAAAAAAGGTGTTCTCAAAGTATTTTAAGGTAAATGACTTGAAATTATTGCATTGTTCATAGAAGTTGCAGCCCTGTGTTTCTCTTTTCCTAGATCTGTTTGGTGGTGATATATTCAGTTATCTTTACAGGCTACAATATGAATATAGATTACACAGGTCTGGTTTTAAATTTAGATTTCTTCTTAATTTCTTTGGAGGTTCATGGTTTGAAAAGTTTCATGAGGAAACATTTATTTTCTTCCATATCGAATCCTCATTTAGAGCCCATTTCTCAATTCTTTTTGTACTTCTTAATTAAAAAGCAGATTTGTTCTGGATGGAGTGGTACGCATCTGTAGTCCAAGCTTCTTGAGAAGCTGAGGGCAGGAGAGTCACCTGAGTCCAGGAGTTTAAGATCATCTGGGAAATACAGCAAGATACCATCTCAAAAACAATAACAAAGCAAAAGCAAAAAATAGTTCTGATCATAAAATACCAAGCAACATATCCAGCACCTGTTGATGTCCTTGTATAATTTGTGTCCTGCTTTAATGATTGTTTATTTTTTTATTACATACTTTGCTTGACTATATCTCATAAAAATGTATTCTGCTTAATGATTTAATTGTCCTATATTAAATATATATATATGCATGCATGCAGAGGTACATCTGTAACACAAGGAATGAATAGATGAATTAATTAGAGACATTAATTAGTGATAGACAAAACTCACTAGGGAAAACATGACTCTAAACAGAATTGGGGTTCATATGTACCATTTGTTTTAATTATAATTAAATATAGTCCCAAAGTTCTACCTAGAATTTAAACATATGCTACTAAAATTCTAATTACTGTAATATAAAGCATGATCTGTCTCATTGGCAGTTGTATAAATAATGGAATTTTATAAATTTGGAGACCATGCAGTTGCAAAAATCAGGACCATTTTTAATGAAGCAAATGTTATTTATATTAGTAAGATAAATTTTCTCACATTGCATTTTGCATAAAATACAGCATTTAATCAGGACTAACCAAAATGATCAGTGGTTAGGAGAAATTAAGATGGTCTCAAATAAATTTGAAGCATTTTCTTTTAATTCCTTAGTGTTCAAAATAAATTTCTGGTGTAACTGAAGCTTGCATATTGTCTCAGAAACATTCTCGTATTTATCTTAATGATTTTAGGCTTAAAAAATACGCAAATAAGATGACAAAAATGGTACAGGAATGAGAATGTAGCTCAGTGGTAGACTGCATTCCTGCCATGCTTGAGACCCTAGCAAAGAAAAAATATATATAGTACAATTTAAGATTGAATTCTTCCATCAACTTTTTCAATATTAACTTCATCTAGCAAGTATGTTCACATACTGAATCCCTTGTGCCATATCAGCAAAATCTGCACTACAGCATTGCAGTTTTACTCTATCCCATTCCTGTAGGCATGATTTATCTTCCCAGTGATGATCTATATATCTAGAGATCAATGATGAAAATTCAGGTTTGCATTAAAAGTTCTTTTATTTACCACTTTTCCAAAAGAATGTTTGAGAAATAAATAGCACATTTCTTATCTTCTAACATTAACCACTGCAGAAAAATAGTCATAAAAGTGGAGTTAGCCTGTGATTTGAATATTTGGTATATTATTTGAACATATATGATTATTGTATTTATTACTTGATCATAGCTGCTTTACAGCCTGTAGGATTGAATTTGAGGGAGTCTAGCTCAATTCCAGACTTGAGCTTTTTATTTGCTAGGTAAAGATATGGGAGAGTCACTTCATCTATGTTTTTGATAACTGTAAATTGGGATTACCATAACCACTTCTAAAGTATACTGTGAAGGTCAAAACATTAGTCCAGAATCCATAGCAAATTCCTCATTAAAATGTTGCAGCTATTATTCTTATCTTAAAAGTTGTCATTTTCTCAGAACATACAATTTAATTTAAAAGAGCTACTTTGAAAAATATTGATGCTTTTATTAAAAAGGCTTGTGATTCAACTTTAAACACCTCTTAAGCCTGTGACTCCAACTTTTCCTACTTCTCTCTTAATTTTCAAAACTTATTTTTATGTCATTCAAATAAGAGACTTTTTGTATACATATACCTGTATTTGTTTTTAAACCCCTGCAACTTACCAACACTGTTAATACACCAAAGATAACAAGAAAAAAATATTATAGTAAAGAGAACAGTTCTCTTTTAAAAAATTTGCAAAAATGTATATTGAACACAATTTAAAATGATGATAAAAGTATCTTAAGCACACATAAATATGCAGAATGATGTATTATTATTTTTGGTACTGTTTATAATGCCTTTAAGCAGTTAGTTTCAAGTGTTTGTTTAGGTGATGCTGTAATTGCTTCATCAGAGAGAAATTAGCTTCATACCTTCTAAGAATATTTCAGAACAATCTCAAATAATGGTAAAATATATTTGGCACATTATCTATCACTTTGTAAACTCTACTAATATTTATTAGTGGGTCATTAGGGCAAACAAATTATGTCAAGCTGAATGGACTATTGGATATAATGGTTTTGACAGTAATAATCATGTCTTATTTATAAGCTCACAGTATATATAAGACTTCAATATTTATTATGTTATTTCATGTATATAGCAATTGTATGCAGTGGGAAAGGATTGTTACACTAATGTTATAGGCAGGGAGACTGAATCTCTGGACGGTAGGTGGTCACAGAGAGAACAAAGATGAGGAGGAACTTCCCATTGTTACTCCAACCCCCGCTATCACTCCTGGCTCCTCCTCACTAGCAACACCAGTTTTAGGGAACTTGTAGATTTAGTGGGCTAATGTTTTATCTTGAAGTTTTGACTGCTAATAGAAGGTTTGGCTTAAAGAAATCTTATACCAATCAAACATCTGAATTAATCTTAAAGACTCACGTACTCTTGTAAAAGCAAGTAGGAAAGAAATAGGCACTCAAATCAGTGCCTGAGTACTGAGGACAAATGCCAAGGTGACAGCAAAGGAGAGGAGATAGTGGTTCAGATGGTCAGAGTTGGGGACTGGACTGTAGCTTAGCAGTGATTAGAGGTTGGGTAAATGAGAAGAGAGAAAGAGGAAGGAAGCTCCAGCCAAAGAAGTTTTGTGGTGCAGTTTGCTGGTGAGAATGCTGGGGATGAGTAGAGTTGTCTCTTGGGGGCAGAGCAAGGTGATGATAGATAAGATTGAAAGGCTTAAATGAACTGAAGGTAAAGAATTTATACTTCATTCTCTAGCCAGTATTTACCTTAGGAAAACTCTGAGTGAAAGAGTAACTTGGCAAAGCAGTCCTGTTTTGAATATAAAGTGCTGGGCTTAAGGGGTACAGGACAGGTGAATGTTGGAAGGAGAAATCAGTAGCCATTTAGAAAAGGACAACAGTGATCCAGAAGTATTGGTCCTAGTGTGGAGTGCATGATATCAATTCACCAACTTGAGTTTTAAAATTGTCACACAGGCAAATGTCTCAAGTGATCTTCCCGTGTAGTTTTGTGGAAGTCTTGCATAGATTTTAGCCTATAATTGTCAAGAACTAAGCTCATTTATCTTTTTGTGATATAAGTTCATACTGTTCCTTGATAAGAGACATGAAAATCCGTACAAGGAGGTTGAGCATTTTCAGTAAGGGAATGGTGGGAATGGCAGCCGAGTTGCCCAGCACAGTAAGTCGCTCCAGTGACTGATATTGTGGATGTCTTTTCCAGGCATGTAGTGGCTGCATCATATCCGTTGGGGGTCAGATTCCAAACAACCTGGCAGTCCCGCTGCACAAGAATGGTGTCAAGATCATGGGTACGAGCCCATTGCAAATCGACAGGGCTGAGGACCGCTCCATTTTCTCAGCTGTGTTAGATGAGCTGAAGGTGGATCAGGCACCGTGGAAAGCTGTTAATACTTTGGTATGGAGAGAAACAAATGTGTCTCTTTAATATTCTTTCTTGAAGAATTGTAATCTGAATGTTAACTACTGGAAATGTTAACTAGAGGGCAGATAGAATGCACACTAGGCTGAGTGAAGATACTGTAAAGTTGCTGTATTTTCATGATTTCACTTGAACGCTTGTTATAAATAGATAGAAGCATTCTCATTAAAATTCAGACAATGAAAGAAGTTCAAACTATTTTTGAACTAGATTTGATATTTAGAATTAGAAACTAGGAATTTTATGTATCTCAATGTCCAATTTACATTTTAATGGAGTCTTTTGAGAGAGAGAATAAAGAGATTTAGGTTATCCCTTGATCTACAGATAACCAGTCTGCATATTTATTGCCTATTTCAAACTAGTTACACATTTTTGTTGTTGTTTCTATTAATTAGAATGAAGCACTGGAATTTGCAAAGTCTGTGGGCTACCCCTGCCTATTGAGACCTTCCTATGTATTGAGGTAATATATTGTTTTCTGAGGCAATGATTCAAAACTTGGGAGATACAGAAATGCATGCTGTATGCTAATAGCATGAAACTTTGATGTGTGGTAATTTGTAAATCCAGCCACAACCTCCAAACCATCAGAACCGTTTTGAGGACCAATGTGTGGTTCTTTGGCTTAAAAGTTTTCCTTTCCATGGGCCGGGGATTTAGCTCAGTTGTTCTGCCACCTGCCTCGCAAGCAGAAGGACCCGAGTTTGATCCCCGGTATCAAAAAAAAAAAAAAGTTTTCCTTTCCAGGGTGGCAATAGGAAGAGACGACATTCCTACATCTAGAAGCATAGCAGGATAGTTTTACATGAAAAAAATAGGACAATTACAAAAACTGGAACATCTCTCACCCCACCCCCATATATCTTCTGATACCCAGTTTCTCTTTAACTCTCAGTGCCATCTAACAGTGCCTTTGTTTGGGAATTTTGAGATCAGAGCTTTTAATAGATGAGTTATATTGATGAGGAACATGAAAAGTGAGGATCTTTGATATTAAACTTTGAAACTAGGTTCTACCATCAAGTGAGAAGTTGTGAGTTATCACTTGCTCCCTTCAGATGTTACCACATGTAAGGAACCACTTCACTGAGCAGGGGATAATAAGAGAAATATAATTTTCTGTGCACAATTTGAAAGTGTAAATGGAATTTGAGATGGGATCTTTTAAAATAATGAAAAATTTCAAATAATGTGGAAAACTTTGTTTTTATTGAAATTACATTTTGTGTAAACTACAGTATAATACTACTACTTCTTTGAGGAATTAAAGTAAATTAATTTAAGTAGCATCTAGACATTTACAGAAAGGATTGGAAGAAACAGCTTTGACTATTGCAATTCCTTTTCCATTTTGCAACCTAAACCTTTGTTCCACTGTTTTATAACCTGAATTATCAGAATTGTAGTTCTAGCCTTCTTCTCGTAACCAGTGAAACAAAGTTCTCTATGCAGAGATTTAAAATTGAATAGGAAAAGTAAAGACTACTTTAGAAAGAAAGTGTAAAGTTATTTTTCTTCTTTATTTTACCTTCCTTTTAGTGCTCCTCCATTCTTCCCCCCCATCTCATTTTGGAAATGTCAAAATTCAGAGTAAATTGATTTCAGATATTTGGAAGGAATGACGCAGTTGAATAAGTTTCAAATCAGCTACAGTATATTGTATTTGTAAATGTTACTAAAAATAATTGATTCTTTTATAATGGAGGCAGTAGAATGACCTGCTTTGACTGTGTACCAGTGGGTTAAGAATAGTTGTTGGTAATGAACTCTGAAAAAACAGGATTAGGGAAATTACATTCTGGGGTGACTCCTATTAAAGTTTAAGAACTACTTGGAACCAGCAAGGCACTTAATAAATCAGAAAAAGCGAACCTTGAGGAAATATGATCTCTAGAGCAAGCAGTGTTCCCTTTGGACCTTTCCCTAATTCTGGTGACAGTTTACTTTGGTTGATTATCCCAGTGATTGAATGAAGTCTGGATTTAAAGAAAGATGCCTTTCTGTTAGGCACAGACTTGAACCAGAGATTTCCTAGAACTGTTCTGAGAGTCCATCACGTTTAGCATGCTTTACTCTTGCAGCAGTAAAAGACACTAACCTGCTTTCCCGAACTCCTTTCCCAGTGGGTCTGCCATGAATGTAGTGTTCTCTGAGGAAGAGATGAAAAGATTCCTGGAGGAGGCCACCAGAGTTTCGCAGGTAGGATCCAATTTCCTCCTGTTGACTTTGACCTCTTTTGTTAATTGCTGTTTTACTTTGTGAGCTGCTTTCCTTTGTGCCACTCTGTTAGGATGTTCTTTTGTTCTTTTTCTTTCTACCTATGAGTCTCTGTGAGAATGAGTAAACTCAAAAGCTTCGAATTTTAATTAGATTCTAATGGTTAGTGGAAGAGGAAGAACTGTGCATGTTTGGTCAAAACATATTTATACATTTTTAGACTCCAAGTGTCTAAAAGGATAAGCGCTCTTGCTGAAGGCTGGACATGCATCCTATTCCTCAGACGCAGACGCTGGTCTAATAATTCCTGGGATTCCTGGTCTCAAGGGTGACCCACTCATTTCATCACTAACCATCATTAGAAAGCTTTCCTAATTTTAAATTCTCGTACCTGAGGACTTTGTGTTCATCAACCATGCGCCTTGAATAGTGAATCTCCTCACTCATCGACTGATTTTCTTCTCACTTTGGCATATTTCATTTGTGACTTAATAAGAATGTTTTTAATTTTGTAGTGACTCATCCACCTCCCTTCACTGCCCCTAGCTTTTACTTTCTTTTCTGCATTACCTTGGTGTGATCCATTTAAGATTTACCCAGTGAGGTTATTGATCTTCAGACCTTGTAATGTTATCCTTTTAAAAGCTTGTGAAAGCTAGTTGGGATTTAAAAAAAAGAACAGCTTATAGGGGAAGAGCTTGATGTTAAGCAAGTGGAATTTGAAGGGAGCTGAAGAAAGAAAGCAGGATTTCAAAGAGGGATAGAGAACATGAATTGTTGCTCTTCCAGGATGTTTGGGTGAGGAAGAGAATGGATAAAGATATAAAGAATGCAAGCAAAAGATATAAAGAAAGAAACCAAGCGGGTTTAGAATTCAACACTGGTGTGAAAGTCAGATAACTGAGAAGGGAATATGTTCAGTGGACCAGTTTTCATCAGTATGCTCTGGAATGAGACACAAACTGTCTTCCCCTCTGTATTATTCCTTGCCAAAGATCCTGTCCTGCACACTTTTTGAGAGACCAGCTGTTATACCCAGCTAGTTCCAGATGCGTGATTGAGGAAGGTTTCTCCTCTCTTCTCCTTGGGACGCTGAACCTCATAGGACTTCTGATCAATAGAATTTTTAAAAATATATACATTTTTTTCCTGTTAGTATATGGACAGAACTCACCAAGGATTAAAGATTTAGACTGGAAACATCCTGATTGAATATTTCTTGGTTCAAGTCTCCCCATCCAACTACAACAGAATCTGTAATACTCAGTTCAATGTGTTTAGAATAAAACCAGCCTGTATTGATCATTCTTCTATCTATGTACGTATCCATATACAGTAGCTGGTATCTACTGACATTGTTTTCACTGTTAGGGAGTGCACTCATGAATAATATATACAGTATCTTGCAGAGAACTTTCTTTGCAAGGGGCATTAAAACATCAGTTGATTACAATGAAATGTGGTGAAGAATGTGCCTTGCAGTAGAGATACAGGCTGCTGAAGCAGAGTGTGAAAGTTTTGGTGTCCCATTCCTTAAGAAGGGAAATTTAAATTGATGTCTGGTGGTTGATTCAGAGTGAACTGAGTGAAAGTTTTACATTGTGGGTATGATAGGAAGAAAAAACTGCATGGATAAAGGCCTAAAGGTGAAAAGAGCATAAAGTTTCTAGACACTGTTAAAAGATTTATTATATAGCTAGGACACCAGATATTGAACTGATTATGCTGATTAGTTTGTAGTATTGTAGAAAGAATGAATTTTTTTTTAGACAAACTGGATTTGAACTCACCATTTGGTTCAGGCTGGCCTCAAACTCATGGTGATCCTCCTGCCTCAGCCTCCCGAGTGCTAGGAATACAGGTGTGCAAATGGAAAGGGGACCAGGAAATAGAGGGAAGGGGGAAGGTAGGAAGAGAAGGGGATGTAAAGAAGAACATGTATCATAAACATGTACCAAATGCCCACAATGAAGATAGTCATTATGTATCACAAACATGTACTAATAAATAAGATGAAAGAGTGAATTATAGACCAAGACTGAATTCATGAGAGAGGTTATGGCCTATGTGGCTCACGACAAAAATGACAGAACCTTGAACTAGAATAATGACGGCAAAGGAAGAGAGGTTTAAATATTGAGGATGTGCATTGAAGGGAATTAGTGCATGGATGGACTTTGAGACACAAAGAAGATAAAGCTTGACTACTGAGTTCCTGCCTTGGACAACTGGCTGGATCGTAGGTCTACTTGTAAGAATAGGGAACACTGGAGAGGTAGAAAGTTTTAGAGGAGGAAATCATATATTAATATTTGATCTTTTGCATATGAGATGCCTGTGAGGAATCCTGCAGAAATTATTTGAAGGCAGAGGGTTATATAGATTTAGAATTGAGGATCAAAGTCATGGCTAGAGATAGATCTGTGAATATAAAATTATTATTATTATTATTTTTGGTATTGGGGATTGAACTCAGGTCCTTGAACTTGCGCAGCAGGTGGCAAAACCACTGAGCTAAACCCCTGGCCCTGTGAATATAAATTTTGCAATGAACAGATAACTCTTTAAATTGAAGTTTTGGTGGTGGACGCAATCACTGAAGGAGACTATGGAAGACAGAGCAGCTGAGACAGACAACAGAGAAATAATAGCATTTTAGGGCTGCATGGAAAGGGAAGATCTATGAAGATAGAACATGAGGGAAAAAAACCCATGAGGATGTAGTTTACAGATACCAAAGGAAGAAAGTATTTTAAGAAGACCAACAATGAATGTATAATGATGCTGAAAGATTGAAATTGATTAGGAGATTTTTCATAAATCTATTCAGCTGGCCAGGATGGTGAATACTATTGTCAACCCTAATCCTCAGATCCCTTAGCCTATGGGAGTACTTGTCCCTAACTGCTGTAATAGTTAATAACACCTCCTAGTTGTGTTCTTCTCTGGAAAATCTTCTCAAATAGGAGCCTTGTCAGTCAGGAGGCAAAATCTTTTGTATCACATCAGCCTTCAAAGCCCTAGACAATGACTGCCCTTGCTTCAGGATGGGACTTCATTGTATTATTCATGATCCAGAGGTCCCTGTGGGATAAAGCTAAAGCCAGTCTTTGGGGGGTGGGTTGAGATTTGAAAGATGAAGCTGAAGAGAAAATATAAAGGCACAAAGGGAAGTGAGATGTGGGCCTTGTAAGAAAGCAGTATCTGGCCCATGTTGCTAGAGCTCTGGAGGATCCATCTAAACCCAGAAGATCAGCAGTCAATTTATTCATTTAGTGTGGAGAACTCAAATGGTGGTCATAATGTAGGGAGATCTTAACGCTATCATGAAAGAACTGAATGTAGGCACTTCAAGGTTGACAAGTGGTCAGAAACATTCAAGAAAGAAGCATGTTTTAGATTAATAAAGAAAAATGTTTGGTTTTTACCATTGCCAGTGCCATACACTAAAAGCTAGATAAGATGTATCAACTTCAGGTAAAGGATTTCATCCTTAGCCCAATCAAACCAAAGCTACATGCTGTTCTCCTTCTAAGCTCGTCTACACCTTTCACATAGAGAGATGACTGTGGAAGATGCAGTGCTTAGGAAAGGTGAGGTTAGGAAGAGATAAAAAGCCTGAACTAATGATTATGTATAGTTATAAAGTAGAGAAATAGTCATGATTGTGGTAGCAGAGACGCTACATTCTGCTTCCTCTTCAGCTCCCTCTTTTCTCTAACTGTCCTAGAAGTCAACATCCGAGATCTCAGAACTCATGTTCAGTTTGCTGAGCCCCCAGAGAGAGCTGCAGAAAGACCTTTGGTCTTGCTGTAAGCAGAGAATGACTTCACAAAATAACCTGGCTAATGAGTTCATTCATAGGCTTAAGTCTCCTACAGGTGATGCCCTAGTATTTACTTAAGGTACAAGAGCTACTTGACATTATATACATAATTTCAGCAAATGTTTCTGTTCCTCTGTTTTTCTTATTGACAGGAACACCCAGTGGTGCTGACAAAGTTTATAGAGGGAGCCCGCGAAGTAGAAATGGATGCTGTTGGCAAAGATGGAAGGGTAAAAACTTTATCCCTATCTCCCTTCACCTGTCCTCCCGTTATTTTTTTTCCTTAACTATCTTGAAGCATTCATAAGTTAGAATTCATGATTTCTGCAAAATGGGTCTCTGAAACAGTGAAGAAGCTGTTCAGTCAAAAAAAAAAATCCAATTCAGTGACAATTCAGCTGATGTGTCATGGATATCATATTTCCTGTTTCATACTGTTAGAATTTCTCTTTGATGATATTCAAAATTAATTATCATCCTGCACTCATCATTCTTTTTTAATAGATTTTCTCTTGTGTGTAGTTCTCCTTTTATGTTTCAGTGAATACTCTAAAAACCCAATCCTTTTCTTTCTGAAGTTTCTAATTGAATCTCTAGTTTTCTTCTTTATTTATTTCCCACCTTCTCCTCTTTTCAGTGGATTAATAAAAGAAAAACCAAACACAGTCAGGTAGATAGAACAATGACATAAGATCATTTTACCATATCACATCTGATATGCTAATTCAATGAATGCCTCCAACTTTGGTGAGAAATGAAAAATGTGAAGAGAGCTTTTACCCAAATTTGCTAATTGTGTTTATAAAGCATGTGATTTATCTTGAAATATAGGAAGTTACATTTCAGTGAGCATGTGTCATTTTGTTTCCTTCAAGAAAAAAATACAAAGTTAGCTTTCATCTTCTGATTTGCAAATATTTCAAACCACTACTGTCTTAGTCATGTTCCTATCACTTGGATGACAATTCCCAACACCCACAGCTCAAAAGAGGAGAGGTGTATTTAGGTTCACAGTTTCAATCTGTGGTCAGCCGGCTGCAAGGCAGACACGGGATGGCAGAGGATATGGTGGAGAAAAGGTGCTCAGCCTATGGCAGCCAGGAACAGAGACAGAAGGGAAGAAAGAGCCAGGGACAAAACTGTGCCTTGTCCAGTGACACCCACATTGATCTACCTTCACTCGGTCCCAACTCCTAAGCACATTAGCTACTGAATTCATCGCTAGATAAATCCACTGATGAGTAGAGTGGCCCTTTGATCCAATCCCCTTTCATAGACATGAGGATTTTGGGTGACATTTTAGATCTAATTCATAACAACTACTGAAGACATTCACTCTTTTCTCTTTTTTTCCCACATTACTATTTCAGGGTAGGGTTTTATTTTTAATCATAATAGTATCCACTTACCACAGAATCATAGTCTTGATTTGAAGCAGCTTTTAGAGATTATTTTATTGCAGCTTCTCAGCTCTAAAGACAGAAATTTTCTTTACATCATCTCTAGAAGGTATTCATTTGACTTTTATTTTTTAATTTATTTTTTACTTTTTTGGTACTGGGGATCAAACTCGGGACCTTGTGCTTCTGAGACAGGAGGCGGAACCACTGAGCTAAATCCCGCCCCCATCATTTGATTTTTCAGAAACTGTGCTGTGTTGATAAAAAAAAAATATTGTAAGATTAGGAATTGTGTTTTATTTAGGGGCTGAGATCTCAGGTATTTTCAATCTTGAGGTAAGCTTTGCTTTTCTGGAACTCTCATCCTTGACTTCTTGTTTTTCAGACCAGAGGTTTAATCTATGACTTTTTCAGCATTTTAAATATTTTAAGATTGAGATACAAAACAAGAGAAATGTGGTGGTACATCTATGGAAGTGGGGGACATAAGACTGTCCTAGAGACATCTGTACTTGTTTGAATATTGTGCTGGCAGAAGGGGACTGGTCTATTGGCCTGATTTGGCTCCAGGTTGCTGGGATATGTGCCTGCCTCAGCTTCTCTTTGACATCAAGCATTGCACATCATCTTATTTGCTCTCTTTTGGAAACACTCCAGTCTCCTCACCCAGTTATTACATCGGCATGCTCAGAAATGGGTGTAGTACTTCAGGGATGTTTCGATTGTTCCCGAGCTCAGTGGGATGATCAGGTCTCCTTTCCAGACTGTACACACACACACACACCCCAAATTGAGCTCTTACTGTATGTGTGTCAAGTATGGAGGTAGGTACTTTATATACATTCTCTTTTATCCTTGAAAACATTCTGTGACATAGGCACTGCTGTTATTTTCTTCTCATCAGAAACCAAGGCTAAGCAGATAAAATGACTTGCTCAGGCTCAGAACTCAAAAGTCACACCACAAAAGTGGAGAATTAGTGTTACTCTGATTTAGGTATCTATAAATTGATAAATAAATCTTCTATGTAATTTATACAAATCTTTTACAGTCACCCAATTATTCTCCCTCACTTTTAGCTTCATTTTCTCTCAAACATATGTTATTAACATAGGTTAAAGCAGTAACATATGTTCAAAATTCTAACAGGCATATACTAGTCATATAAACTTGGTTATTTGTTTTTCCATCACTTTCATTTCATTATGTCTAAAAGAGGAAAAAAAATTTTTCCTCTTGTTTCCCTCCTCCCTCAGTCTTCAATTTCAAGGTCTCTTGATCCGATCCTCAATTCATTTTTCTTGTCCACCTAGGTTATCCCATTTTCCTAGCTAGACATTCACCTCTCCCATCCTCTTTTCTTTTCCTTTTCCTTTCCCTTCCCTTCCCTGTCTTTTCCATTTCTTTTTTGTGTCTAAAAGATATCCCCAGTGCTTCACAAACCCTGTAGTTTCTCATCTTCTTTGTAAGAATCAATATGTATTGGTTTAATTTTCTTCTTTTCCTGTTAGTCATACCTGTGCTAAGATGGAGGCAAGCTCCTAACCACTGTTGGCCATCTCAGGAGATTGTCAATGTGGAAACCTAGACAGTCTTTGTGAATCTCTTTCTTCTGTTGTCATCAGGTGCTTAGCTAAAGCACTGGTCAATGCCTGGAGCATCTGTTAGGACCAAAGGGGTGCATGAGGGAGTAGCTTCCTTGCAGAAGGTGCATGATGGCTCTTTCTCAAATCTTCTTTTGGCAGGTTATCTCCCACGCCATTTCTGAACATGTGGAAGATGCAGGCGTCCACTCAGGAGATGCCACTCTGATGCTGCCCACACAAACCATCAGCCAAGGAGCCGTTGAAAAGGTCATCATTTATAAAAGAAAGTGGAAGGGGAACAGAAAAAGATGAAAAACCCTCAATTTAAAAAAACACAAAACAACTAGGTAGCAAAATAAGACATGCTCCAGGTACAACTTAGTGATGAGGGGAACCTTTTGCCAGCTAGCTGAGTGGCTGAAGATGCTCTTTCTGCTGCTCTGGGGATCATATTGAGAGAATGGCTGTTGCAGGTGATTCTGAGGTTTGAGGACCACTTATAGATAAGCTGCATATAAAGTAATACTTCTCAGAGTGAGTGAACCAAGTGTGCAGTGGTCACTCGGGGACCTTCTGGAACGCATGCTCTGAGTCTTTACCCTTTCCTTAAGTAGCACTTTCTGGTATATCTCTTCTGACCCCTCTTTGAGAGCCACTCTTTTAAAGAACTTCCCAGGATAGGTGACTGCCTCAGTACTCATATGCATGTCTAGGTGAACACATAAAGCTTATCATTTAAGTAATTCTTGAGGGTATCCCCCTGGCTTTCAGAGACATTGAGTCAGCTTGACTTCTGAAAGAAGCTTCTCCAATGATCCTCCTGTCAGAATCTGCAGGCTTGTCTGTCTGCTTGTACACTGGCTGCACTCTGAAGGTCTTTGTTCTAGAATGTGGAAGTAGCAGGATGCTTTGTAAAATAGCAGCAGAAAAAAAAGAGGCCCTGGATTTTAAATATGCTTCCATTTCTCATGTCAGGATAAATGACCTAAAAACTCAGCTTTTCCCAAATCTCAAAGAGCTCGATGCTGACCCGCTCCTGTAACTGCAATGAGAGAAGAGCTCTTGCTTCTTGTAATCAGGGCCTCCTCTTAGCAAAGGGACCTTCTGGCTCTGGTTGGACGCAGGAATTCCTATGTGTGACATGCAGACATGTAGAGCCTCCCTGCAGGCAAATACCATTTCCTTCTGACCATAATATCTACCTTTGTAGGGTTTAGGGCAACAGAAAAGCCACATAAAAGAACTCTCCCTGGTCTCTTTGTTGCACCATGTAATTTCAGGGCCTGCACCTCTCAGCAGGTAGGTCATTAGATTGATATAGAGTTTGGACTGTTGTTTTTGGTGCTAAGGCAAAAAAGGTTTCATTTAACTCTCAGTGTAAGACCAGGGTATGTAATTGCAGGAGAGAGGGGTATCTAGCAGATAGATAATGCTATGAATTAATCATTCTTTCTTCTCCTGTCCTGCTATGACATATTTTACTACATATTTTTTAATAGAAGCCTAACAGTTTCCCTATTATTACTTTTATTATTAATGCAGATGTAGTTCTTTATAAAGACAAATTAATGAAATCCAAATTGAAGGTGCTATACCCTTTATGTGTTATATTTTGCCTAAGACATGCTCTTTTGGATTATTTCACTGTTGTTTTGGTCCAGGTGAAGGATGCCACCCGAAAGATCGCAAAGGCGTTTGCCATCTCTGGCCCGTTCAATGTCCAATTTCTTGTCAAAGGAAATGATGTCTTGGTAAGAAATATCAATGTGCTTGAGAAGCCACTGTCACTGTTAGGCCATGCTGGGCTTTTGTCCCTCTGGTAATCTCTGTGAATACCAGCTGCAGTCACTGAGACCCCTGCAGCTGTTCGTGTCTGAGAGGGGGATGTTGCACCGCATATAATGCCTGTCTTGTTTGAAGGCACGTGTTTTCGGTGGCACTGATCCATCAGTCACAGCCTTGTAAAGCGCTCTGATCCACTGGAAGGAAGATCACTGCATACCTTCTGCAATATGAGCACAGATAGATACAGTACATATTGAAACCAGATATATAGTGTATTCATGAATTACTTCACTGAAGTTCTGCTTTTTCCTTGCTCAGAGAAGAAAACTCGTTTGGAATACATTTTTAAAAAGTAAATACAATAAAAATTAAGGTCAACTAAGTTATTCCTAATTAATTTTCTCTTTCATTTTTAACCAACCAGTAACCAATATATATTTATCACCTACTATGCAGCCATACAGTAGCTACAAACGTATGTAAGATACAGTCTCTGCTCTCAAAGACCTTATAAGTTAGTGAGGAGTAGGAAAAAATGAATTTGAAAATGAATACTATAAAGTTAAGCATAACAAGTGCCTGAGAAGTTGTACAAATACAGTGGTTTTGGAGTTAAAGAACAGAAGGATCACATTTGCCAGTGCATGTGCTCACAGGTGCATGAATATGCATTTGGATATCGTATGGCCACTCGGCCTGGGATCATAAAAAGGTTCAAGGAAGACTTTGGGCTGTGAGCTGTACCTTACAGCATAGCTAAGATTTTGACAAGTTAAAGAAGGAAGAAAAGATATTGCACACAGGTAGAAGATCATCTACAGGGGTGAGAAAAATAGCACAGGTAGGGAGATAGTGAGTAGCTCAATTTAGTGAGATCATTTTTCTAGGTAAATAATATAAGGGTAAGCTTGGAAGTAGGACTAGACCCAGGAAAATGCTCTAAGATGACAGAGAGGTATGTTGAGGCAAGAGGATAAAAAGATTTTGGAGACTGGATTTATCTAATGCCAGTGGGAATCCAATGAGAGCTTTCAGTAGGGGTGTGGTAGTATCTGAGCTCTGATTCCATCATAGTGTGTGGGGATTAGGGAAATCAGATGGAAGACAGTAGAAGTTCAAAGATTAGTTAAAGTCCAAGCAGTGGGGAGAATAGGGAAGGCATTCGCAAAAGAAGTGCCAGTCTCCAGTTAATAATAGTTATAAACCAAGTGTCAGAGAGAATATCAATATTATTTTATTGGCTTTCATCATCTTCTCTCTCCTTTTGGATTTTCTTATCTCTTCAGGTGATTGAGTGCAACCTGAGAGCTTCTCGTTCCTTCCCCTTTGTTTCCAAGACCCTTGGGGTTGACTTTATTGATGTGGCCACAAAGGTGATGATTGGAGAGAAAATTGATGAGCAGCATCTTCCAACACTGGATCGCCCCATAATTCCTGCTGACTATGTTGCGATTAAGGTAATATTTTAAAAAATCTATAAGTCATTTTATAAGTCCAAAAGAAATTAAAGGAGCAATTTTCCATCAAAGATCTCACGACTTTATGAACCTTCTAACTAAAGTTCTAGACTAGCAATTGCTTCCTTTCAGTAATGTAATGCTGGTTGCATGAATGGTAGCTCTATGTGAACTTTTGAGCATTTACAAACATTGTAAAAAAGCATCTAGAATTGTATAAACTCAAGAACAACTACACAAATAAATTAGAAGCTATTTATGCAGCTGACACATAATGGTGCCAGGTTAGTTGGTAAAAAGAAACACTAGATTCCAGACCACCTTGGTTGCTGTCGCTTACCCAGTATTTTCCTCAGTAGTATAATGTTACTATTTGAAAAACTGAAAGGGCAGTTATTGTTTATAGTGATGCTGTGAGGGTCATGGAATCATAATTATATTTTAATAACGCTTAATAATAAAGCCATTGTACTCTGCAAGCTGTCTCAGTATGTTCATGCATGGGGAGTTCATTTATTTATTTATTTATTTATTTATTTATTTATTTATGTTTGGTACCAGGGATCGAACTCGGGTCCTTGCGCTTACAAGGCAGGTGACAGATAAGGGGGAGTTTATAACTATGACTTTTAACTACTTTGCCTGATAGGCATGAGGATTAGTGAGGTATATAAATATTTTTTAACTTAGCTGAAGCACACAATGAAATCAATTTATATTATGTGATATATTTGTGTGACATTGACATATTATGAATGCCCTCAAAAGATTCCTTTTCCTATATGTGCTAGTGGCTTTACCCAAAATAGTGCTATAGCTAAGGCACTGACTCTTGGCTTTTATAGTGGGAGTTTTAAATTGCAGCTACCAATCAAAAATATTTATTAATTTTGCTTAAGTTAATAATTAGGATGCCTTGAATTTTATAGTACTTTGAGATGGAATGTCACTTTTCTTGTTGGGAGAGGTGGCACTTTATTCCTAGAGACTACTACACAAACATAAATTCATAAAGCTTTTAACATTATACAATTATGTATATATATATGCATATAACTTTTTTTTGAAACCAACAGGTAGTAGGAAATGAAAAATATTTTCCACTAGATACTTCACACAAATTTTAAATTGATGTTTTTATCTATATACATAAGAATATATGATTCTTATTAATGTATATGAAAATAATTTCTAAATAAAAGCAATATTATGGATAAATATAAATTTAAAAAGTCATTGTATCTTCCAACTTCTTTCCTTGTTATCATTATGTATGAATCTTAATTTTTTTTCAAATTACCTATTCATGGTCAATCTTGGTTCATAGCAATCCACAGATGGAGGAACGGGGAAGCTGGAGCATATGCATATGTAATAACTTGAAGGAGATGACCTAGTAAAAGGAATTCTTGAGCTAGATTTCCCATGAAAAATTCGAGAAAATTTCTCAGAATCAACAGAATAGTCTAGTCCAGAAAAATGGACATATGCAAGTAAAAAGAACTTGATTCTTAGTGAATCTCACTGATAAAATAAATAAAAAGGAAGCACTTCTGTGTTCCAGTTCATATGAAAAGTTCTGGGGAAAAGTGTTTCTAGGCAGAATGCTTTTCAAAGCCTTAAAAGAGGTGTCAACAACAGAAGTCAGCTTATCGACAGCCTTTTTTAGCAAGGTGGCTTGTTGCAAGTTCAAATGATCAGAACAATAATAGGAGTGTTCCAAAAGCCTATCAAGGAAAAAAAATATGTTTGAGCTCTGTTTTAGGAGAGACCAATGCCCAGTAGATGTTTGAAATCACTCCAATAAGAATATGTGTAAGCCAGATTAGAAGCACTGGTCTAGACTAGTCACAGGGGACCTATTTACAGAAAGAATTTGTGATTATTTAACCCAAGTTTTTGGCTAAGAGCTCAACAAATTCTTGGAACAGAATTTTAAAGCTATTTTTCAAGTCTGATACTTGGACCAGAGATTTTTTTGTATGTCTACCATAGACTAAATGAATCCTGTGAAAGATGATTCACTAAATACATTCATCCTCTCTTATTCTTTCATATCTTTCTCTCACATATTTTTTTCCCCTGTTGTGTCTGACAGGCTCCAATGTTTTCCTGGCCCCGGCTGAGGGATGCTGACCCCATCCTCAGATGTGAGATGGCTTCCACTGGAGAGGTAACGAGTTAACGATCCATAATGCTTTCATTAAATCTACTTTGAAATCCATGGTTTTATTACCTGAATATAGTAAAGTAAGTTAGTTAATAAGTAATGAGAGGAAGTAGAACTTCTACTTTCAGAGGAAGTCTGAAAGGGTTCAAGAATTTTGAAGGAAAGAAATATCTTTTACTCTTTTGGAATAGTGTACATTTTCACTTATATTTCAACATGGGAATATAATCCATGTATTCCTGATTTCTATTTCCATATTACACATTGAGAACAACTTTCAGATATTTCTCTAGATATCTAAGTAAATATGTCCTTAGATATCTCTTTCTCTTTATTTTAAGGTTCTCAGTCTCTCTGTAATAGCAGTTCATCCCTTGCTTTGCTATCATGAAATCAAATTTTTGGATTTTACTAGAAATTTCTAGAATAACAGTGTTAAAAAGACCACACACCTATACAGTGTGGAATCTGCAGATTCATGCAATATTTTAGGATCACTTTTAAAGCAACTTTAACCTTTGGGGTTTATCTAAAAACTATAATGGGACTGGCCACTGGATGTCCCTCTTCCCTTGTGTTGGGATTGTGCCAACTGAAGGTTTCTTTAAGAATGTGAAATGTGTTTTCTCTTAGAGAGCTGTCAGATTCTAGAAAGTTCTCTACATGTCAGTGTCAGGACATTTTATGAATCACCTAGCCCTTGACAGACGTACTAGCTACAACCTTCAGATCCTCATCAGTGCACACTGGAGTGGCAACATCAGACTGTGAGGTGTCATTGTTTCTCTTGGTGTTAAGGAAAATCTGAAAAAGGAGAATATTTAATTACAACAAATGCACGATGCTTTATATGGCTGCCTGGTTACAAAAAAAAATGTGTGATGAGAAGCCAAGTGAGACAAGAAGCCAGGTAATGAGGAGTAACTGAGTATCCTGTTTATATTCGGACTCTTGGAAGAGTGGACTCTTGGTCCCTTGCTACTTCTTTTAATTTAATAGGCAGGAGAGCCTAGCTTTAAAATGAGAGCATATATCACGTTGCCAGTCAGTGTTAGGAGACCCTCTTCAGGTTCATCTTCATCCCGCAGTCAGTAGTATGGGGGCTATTTTCAACTGTCCTGGGGTGGAGGACAGGTGCATATCTGTTTTCCTTCATCCTATTTTCTGTCTTTAGTCTTCTGTGCTTATGTCCTTTCTGCCTTTGCATATACATATTTGGAGTTTTTGAAATGTGAAATTATGAATGAATAAGAAATTCATTCCCCCTTTGGTTGTATCTTTTTCTAAAGTATAAAAAAGAGAATTCTTTCTCTGTTACTAGAAAGAGGCCTTTTCCTAGTGTCATAAAGTATGATTTTGTAACGTCTGTTTTGTAACTGAAATCAGAATGATAATTCTAGCTTAGCTATCTTAATTATGCTTCAAACAGTCTTTCTTCAGCGCTTAAATGGCTTGTGGTAGAATTGCACAAGATTCCAGCTCCTGATCTACACTTGATCTTAGCCAAAAGGCCGAGAAGAGATTCCAGCTCCTGATCTAATTATGAGGGATTTTATTTTCCTGGTGATAAAGTAGGGATGCTAAGTCTTAATCTTTACTGGAATATTCAACTACTTTCTATGGCTTCTCAGAAAATTGCTGAAACATCTTCCGTGTTGCTGTATCTGTACTTGTAAAGGGATTGCACAATTAATTTCAGTAGAGTTTGAGACCCATTAACTTAGGTTGACATTACTTAAGTTATTTGAACAGTATTTGATTAAAATGCTCACTGTAGAGTGAAAAGCAGTTGGTATTTGTGGTCAGCTGAAGGTCATGATCAGGAGAATTTTCCTTGCCTAGTAAAAGAGTCATTTGCTTAAAGAATGAATTCAGCCATCAACGCTGTTTACTGTAATGGTGGCTCTGTACCTGTGTCAAATGGTGATGTGCATGGCAGAAGGACTCCTGTCACGTTAAATTCTACCACTTGCCCTCTGATTATGATGGCTCTTTGACTTACAGTTCGATCTGTAGCACAGTTGCTCTGGATGAAATCTCTGTAAATACTAACATTATATGTTAGTTTGGACCATTTCTCCGGTATTCTGGACTAGTTGCAGGTTATTTTGGTTCATTTTATGAAAATGATAAAAAGGAACAAGCTGTTTTGAGATTTTCATGGGCTTATTGAATTTCTCAGAAGGCATTCTCATAAGCTGCATGAAATGATTCCTCATCAATTGATCAGCAGTTAGTCATTTCTACTACTGACCTATGAATTCATACTCTACGGCACAGTATCTATAACATATACTGTTATTTAAACAGTAAGTCATATTAACATTTGGAAGTTCACCACATTATGGGCCAGAAGCTGTGATTTGTATCCAAACAACTCACAGTAGTATCCAGTCGGTTGCTCCACTGAGTGTTGTTGGATAGAGAAAGAATTGCTTATTCATTCATTATGCTTAATTAAAAACATAAGATACATCTGCCCTGGCCAGCCTTTTATTCCCTGGATTCAGATTGCATGGTCTTTGGGCAGCATCAATAAAATCTAGGGAAGTAGTCTATGAGTAAATTGCTTTCCATTTCTGTTTTTGTTTTGCTTTTTTTGGTTTAACTGTAGCTGGCAGTTATTTGCTTCTTTGTTTTATTATTATTTATTTTTTTCATTTATTCCAAAACAGGTGGCTTGCTTTGGTGAGGGTATTCACACAGCCTTCCTAAAGGCAATGCTTTCTACCGGATTTAAATTACCTCAGAAAGGCATTCTGATTGGAATCCAGGTAAGTGGTGTGTGTCCATGTGTATTTACAGGCCCACTTCCTTCTGGTCCGTCCTTCATATTTCAAATCCTACTAAGTACCAAGGATTCAAAACTGAAGAAATAGAAATTATTGGAGGAATTTTCTCAATTTGACTTTCCATTTTGAAGTCTTAAAGGGCAGTGAGTTAATGAGCTTAAGAAATATTAAAAAAAAAAAAAGAAAAATATTTCGTAGTATACCATCGAAGTTCTTGGAAATATTATTGTTTGGTAAATGTATTCATCAGCTTTTTCTTGCTGGGACACAATACCTGACACCTACAACTTAAAGGAGGAGAGATTTAATTTAGCTCAAGTTTCGGAGGTTTTGAGACCAGGGTTGGGTGTCTCTAAGGAAGGAATTTCATAGTGGAAAGGCATGGTAGAGCAGAGCTGCTTAGTTCTCAGTGACTGGGAAGCAGAGCAGGCAAATAATACCAGAGAGGGATACTGAGGAATAATACATAGTACCCAACGTCATACCTCTGTGACCATCAAAAAACATACAAGAGTGTGTGCTACTAATCTGCTAGGTTTCTTAATCCAATGAAGTTGACAAGTAGGATTAACAATCACAGTAAGCCTTCTAAGTTAAAAGAGGGTAAAGTTCTTGGAAATGAATATATTTATCCAATTAAAAGGGCATTATTGTTTTATCTCAGAAAGTTAAATGTAAATCAGGGTAAAATGGTGGACAGGAAATGTCTAATAACCCTTGAGATGATTATTGCAAGAGTGTGAAAACCCTTCTGTTTATAAATTTCTTGAAAAAAATTAGATGCTTTGCAACTGGTCATTCACTCTCATCTGAGATTAGCAATTTGTGGGTCCTATAAAAATAATATCTGATCTTGTATAATAGCCCTGCTGTGCTTTTAATAAGCTCAAACCCTGTATGGTTACATAAAAATCAATAAAAATATAATTTGAACAATACCAGGTATCTTAAGCCAGTGGGTGATTATTATAGATGCTGGCTCCCTAGGGTGTCTTAATATCATTAAATTAGACTCTGGAGGCTGGACAGGTACTGGCTTTGGAAAAGTTTCTGTAAAGAGTAACTTGGGCTTTTGCCTCAGAAAGGTGCAGAAGGCAATGGTGAGTAGTTAGAGCAGAAGCTAACAAGACGCCTGGCAATTGTGAATCTTAAGGGCAGTTTAGAGACAGATCCCATCGTATAAGTGACTCATCACATTGTAAGTGAGTATTAAGTATTATCAAGTCCCGAGTATGAGAATATTTGCCCTAATTCCAGTTAAGGCTGAAAGTTTAATGTGAGACCTGGAGGGCATTGGGAGGAGATCATGCCCTTAGCCTTCGTCTTCACAGCTAATCATAATAGTGCTAACATTTTAAAATACCAGTTTAAGAAGGCAGTGATGTATAAAATTGTGCCTTGTTTGGTTCCAGTGCTGCAGGGAAATGTGAAGCAGAAATTAATTTGATCCCTATAAAGTATTTGTATGATTTTGGCATTAGTAAAGAAAATTTTGCTCTGCAGGGAAAAAATGGGGATTTTGTAGGGAAGAAAAGAGTTTTCTTGTAGCAATAAGGTTATGTCCATTGAAATTCATCTTTCAATGCATTCTTTTAAAAAGAAATTAATGTTTCAATAACTGTGTGAACTTCGCAAAAGAACATTCTATGTATGAATGCAAAGTGTTAGAAATAAAAAATATATTTTTTAAGTATAAAATTTAAAGAGTATTTTCTAATTAAATTATATTTAAGAAAATATTTACATCTGTGAAAAACGTGACCAGCTGGATTGTAACATTTAGAGATATACAAGAATCATTTTCTGGCTTATTTTTATGGGAGACAAGGAAAAATTTCCATCCCTGATAGTAAATATATAGTCTCTCTAGTGCCACATGTGGGATTTTCATTCATAGTGATTTTTAAACATTTCTAGTCTGATAACTAGCTGAAAAACATGGCAGACTATACCAACTAGACAGTTAATAGCCTTAAAACTCACTAGACATCTTCTTAGCTAGTGTGGGAACAAATCTAATCTCAACTTTTTATTCAACCTTCATAGCAATTGTAGATAAAGTAATCCAGGCTCCACATCTAAGGGCATGTTGTATCCTTTGAAAAACGTTTTATTTAACATGATCTTACTTGGTCGAAAGAATTCATACAGTCTCTTGCAAACACATAACATCAGAACTGAAAAGAACATAAAAAATTACTAATATATAAATGGGATCAAGTCTAGTAAATACATTGGAAAGCATTTGATTGATGGTGAATTATGTGACAAAGCTCTGAGATAGAAAGTCTACAACTGCACTTTGATTTCTTAACATGGTCATTTATTATGATGGTATGTAGACTATATGCACAGAAAAACATTGGTGGGCAATGTTGCTGTTAATTTGATTTATTATTCCTTCATTATCAGTTGGGAGGATGGTCACTATCTGTCCCACTTGAAATAGAGGTATTCTTTTCTTACTCTGACCCAAAAGCCTGCTATGAGTAGAAAGACTTAATGGAGATACCTTGCATTACAGGTTGCAAGAGAAAATTGGAGGAACAGAGACATACTAGAGTATAAGAAAAAGTGACCCTGAAGCAGAAAACATTTTTTCTTGGCATTGGAAGCTTAATATGTGTTGACTTAAATAGGCATTTATAACTGGCAGTTTCCAGCTACTTCTCAAGCTTAGTAGATTGTGTGTGCTTGCTTGTGTGTGTGCATGTGTGGGTGCACACAGGTACTGTGTGACAGTATTCCTACCCTTTTCTCTTTTCTTTCCCACCTTACTCCTTTATGGGCTCTCTATGTTTGCCCTTCCATAGTTAAAACCCATGGATCAAGTTACCTGAGAAGTTTGGAATACTTAAAACATTAATCTTGGATAACTAGGATGTAGGAGAAGAAAGAATCAGGCTTTAGATTTTGTTACCTTAACTATAACAGGTACTGTGTTTCTATCAAGAGACATCAAAATGTCCAGGGCATTTCTATTGTAAAAAAGGTCTAACAGGCTTATGTGGCAACAAAATCATCCTTGATTTTGCAGTAGTTCCAACCACCTTTCATCCCATCACTATTTATTTTTAGTTGCTATAAGTAGGCAGTCTGGCTTGTTTTGAGGTTTTCTAGAACACTCTTTAACAATAAATGATTGACTCTAGAGTAGCTCAAGTGCACTCACTGTCTTTTCCCCTCTGATTGGGCTATTCAGTGATGCTCACAAAGTGGCAAGCACCAACCTGACATCTGCGGCTTCAGCATTGCTCAGAAACACAAAGCAAGCATTTTATTTGAAAAGACAACCCCAAGTGACATGAATAACCTTTTATCTTCAATATGGCATCATTAGGAACAACCATAGAGTTGTCAATCCAGAGGTCCCTGTAAAATCCACGGGCATCACTTAGTATTAACTTGCCTTTCTCTTCTGCCGCCAGGAGTTTGATAAATGTAAAAATGATCATTGGGGGAAATATATATGTATTTCATTTTTAAAGGACTTTCTTTCTTATAAACATTTCCAAGAAAATAAATCAGCTTGTACTTTTCACCTTTAGTAACAAATGGTTTCTTACACAGGTATTTTCAATCAGCTTTTAAATCAGAGGGTACTCAGATCCAAGCTGACAGCTGTAATTTCTTTTTGTAGAGAGGCTGTTTTATGTGTCACAAGTGTTCAATACATATTTGATAGAAGTTTATAATGTGTCTATGGAAGCCAACACCCCAGACCAGAAGGGAGAGTGGTTCCCTGGCTGAGAACTGCCAATACTGTCATGTTGGATATTTATCTTTTCCACTTGGGGGACAGCACAGAAGCAGCTTCATAATGAGGTTCTGCCTGGTGTCTGCAGGTCTTCGAGGACTTTCTGACTTATTTTACTTTAAAATGAGAAAGAAAAATTACATTCTAGAACTCTTCCTGCAACATTTTTCATTGTGACTTTGGCCAAGGTTAATGCATTTTGACCTAAAATTGTGAAAGGAATGAAGGATAGTCTTTCCAGGCCCATTATGTCCCACTTCTAAGCTTGTGTGCACTGGAATCATCCGGAGGGTCTGTGAAATGACAAAGTGCTGGGATCCATGCACAGAGTTCCTGATTTCCTACACCTGGGTGGAGCCCACATTTTCATATTTTTGATAAGTTCTCAGTTGGTGCTGATGTTATTAGCGTGGTAAACACAATTTGAGAAACAATTTACTTGGGGAATGATATTTTAGAAAGTTTTTATCATTTGTATTATCACCATATTTTCAGTGACTTTGTTAGAGCAAAGTTTAAGAGATTGAAAATAGTTATGGGCATGATGAATGCATCAGTTAGTCAATAAGTTTGCTGAACAGTTTTCATATTGAGCCTCTTAGTGTGAATTGGTGCTTACTTATGTCTGTTCTGTGTTTAGCAGAGGTTCAAAATATAATGTTGTATATTAGGGAAATTTAACAAAATGCACAGGTTCATTTTGAATATGTCACGTATATTTGTTGTGTACTGAGGAACTGTAAACTATAAAGAAAACCTAGTTTGGCCTCCAGGTCAGCCCCTTCATTTCCAGCCAGGACCAAACTTGAACATAGGAGTTTCCTGTGCTTCTGCCTAATGTATTTTTAAGAGACTACCACATACCTCATTAAATCGTCCTAATGTCGGTGAGAGTTATTCTCTGGTTTTCTTACTTATCTCTTTTTATTTTTTAATGTCTACCCATGAGCTTTTTCGTAGCTGAGCTCATTTCTTCCTGTTTGATTCTAAGTGGAAATGGAAAGCTATAGCCTGGGCATGGTTACAATTCATGTTCTAGAAGACTGTTATGAATAACTCCTGAGCCCGCCTTTGCTAAGATCCATCCTGTTCCATTTATCTTTTCTCTTTGCTAGTAGTTCCCTCTCATAAAACTGTAGTTCTGGGATTGTGAGGGTCAAAATCTGAAAGAATTTTATATTTGAACACAGACTTTGGGGTCTTTTCTTGGATTTAGATCTGTTCTCCGAGAACTTCTGCATGTAAATATTAGGAAGTTTTATGGGTTGAACTTTATCAACATTGTGCAAGAATCTTGGTGTGCTTTACCACCATTCTTAGTTTATGGCTCTGAAATAAGATCATATCCCTGAATTTTTTGATCATCACTAGCATGATTTCTAAATAGAGAACAAGGCATTTACTAAATTAATCATTTTGCATCATGTCTTTAAAGGCTTTTCACAAGAGAAACAAGCAAAATTGGTCCCATTTAAAGAAGATTTAGTGTGTTTTTGAGTATATATGATTTTAAATACTCTTTTTAGTTCATTTACTGACACTCATGTTGATGAGGTCAAGGTCAGGATAGGCCACTTAGTTTTTTGTCTTTTTCATCATGACTACTATCTTGTAAATATTAGCTGTTTCTACCAGTAGCTGTGTTCAGAAGTGGTGAAGCCTGGATGGCAGTGGTCAGGAGTCCAGAGAAGGCAGGGTGTAGATCATCCAGATGGGGCCTTAGGAAGGACACAGCAATTAACTACCAAAAGTATCTGACCCGGGAACTGGAATATTGGGAAGCCTGTAGGAAGGTCAAATGTACATATATGACAGGGCCATTGGTTTAGGTTTTAAGTATATCAGCTGGTAGAGGAAGCAGGGTCGGAAACTAGGATACAGGGACAGCCTCCAAAAGTCTGGAAAGAACAGTTATTTAAATGACAACAGTTTATATTTATGGAGTATTATTATTGGCCCAATAACACTGCTAAAGTGTAGAACTGACAGTGTGCTTATCATAAATTGGCTTATTGAACAACCACAACTCCACGACACAGGTGCTATTTCCTTTAAAAGATGATAGAGAGGTTAAGATGCTCAAGGTCACAGGGGTGAATAAATTTGGGGGTCTCAAGAAGGAGACTTATCATTGTCATCACTCTCTTAGAAATGAAGAAGGCTCAAAGACATTCACTTTTCTAAGCACACATGATGACGAGTGCATGGAAAAGCCATGGTTTGATATGTAGCTTAGTAACTCCAGTGCTTACTCTTTAAGCACAATCTTGTATTACCTTAGAATAATTGCAAAATTGAGTTTCAAATGATTGAGTTATTGTGGGGATCTGTGCATGAGCCACTAGGACAGTTGGCTGTTACTGAAGGCCATACAAAAATTAGAACTCCACAACTAGAGCAGGAAAAACTTGCTCTTCGGGTCCTAAGCCAGGTGTCTCTGAAATTCTCCCTGACCCAGATAAGTGTCTGCACAGAACTGCAATAGATCTAAACCTACAGACAAAGGCCGAGTAGATTCAGTAGGGAATGAAAGGGTTTGGGAAAAAGGAAAAAAGCAGAGAACAAGACAGTGTGGATGGAATTTCACGTATATTGGAGAATAAATGTGAATTCATTATTGGAAAATAAAAGGAAAAAAATCTTGTTGTCTTTGAATATAAAGCACTCAGTGACATACCATACTGTCTTTCTTGATGGGAACACCATATTGCATATGTCTAAATAAAAAGCATGCATATCAAGGGAGTTAATTTTGCCAAATTCCTTTTCAGCAATCATTCCGTCCAAGATTCCTTGGTGTGGCGGAACAACTACACAATGAAGGTTTTAAGGTAAGCTGTATTATTATCATTTTTCAAGTAGTTTTCTCTCCGCCTTGAAGTCTGTCCACAAAACAAAATACTGCAGAAAAAGGAACAGAAATAGCTCAGACTTTTAACCTGACGAGTCTAACTAACTTTGTACTTTCAAGACTTCAGTATAAGTGCAGCCAGCCAGAGCAGCACTCTTTCCCCAATCCTGCCACTTCAGATGCTACTGTTTCCTTTTTGACTTAGGGAGGGAGGATCCTGGGGTGGCTAAGAAGGGCAAGGGAGGATTCTGAACCCCTTATTTACACTCCCATCCCTCACAACTAACCTTCCAGAAGATTCCCTGGTTTCAGCCATGCCCTCCTGACACAGGCTTGCAGCTGCTACAGAAGAGCACTCCCCAGCTCTTCTCTGGTTTAGTCTAGGAGGGCTCCCTCCTGTGTACTGACCCCCTTCTGTTGCAGCCCAGGCCCACTTAAAATAAAGACTCCGTTTTGGTGTTCCTGTTAAAAAAGAAAGTCTTCAATAGAATAAAATAGAAAAACTAGTTTTATGTTTTAACAAGATTATTACAAACAACAGAAATTGTCGGCTAAAAACTTAGAAAGTTCAGCTGAAGCATAATAGAGACTAGGTTCTGATGCATTTCCGTATATTTTTCTTTTTTACTTTCCTATTTCCATTTGAGATCATACTTTCTGACTTATAGTTATGGGAACAACTTCTTTTCAATGACTATTTCCACATAAAGCCAGGTTCAGTAAAGCAAAATTATTCCCATGGCTCAGGGTGTGGCTGTGGCCATGTGGTTCTGTTGATGGGATAAAAAAAATTCTAAGCCAGGAATAATTCTATATTTTTCTCTTCTACAAAAGCAGTTACAATTGACATTCTTAATGTCTTCCTTTAATCTTTTTTTCCCCCATTAAGTTTATTGGTACATTTTAGGTAAAAAATACATTTACATACATCATTGGGATCTTGTACCATTACATGAGTATCTTGGTTTTTATTTTTTTCACCTTCCCCTGCCCTCCCTTCACCCCCTCCACCCTTCCCTATTTGCAAAGTTTTTGTTTCCATTTTTTTCCTTTTCTCATATTACTTCTTTTTCCTTCTTTCCTTTCCCCTACCCCTCCCACTTCCCCTGCTCCTTTAGACCTTCACTTCCTATTACACAATATCAATTATACATTTTTAAAATTAAAATATCAAGACCTAGGAGACATTAGCAAAGATTTTACAGAATTTAAAAGGATATAGAAAGCATATTTCAAAAATATGTTTTGAAATAAATTTGACAACTTCCAAGAAGTACCTTGGAAGACAAATTAATGAAACTAACTCTGGAGGAAACATAAAACTTGAATAGCACCTATTAAGAAGGTATATTCCTAGCTTGAAAACCTACCTATATGACAACAACAGGCTCGTGTACATTTTAACTGATAAATTATATCAAACTTTTAAAGCAGAAAGAAAAAGGAACACTTCTCCCCTCATTTTAGGAA